TGAAATTTGATCACGTGATATTATTTGGTTAAATAAAATATGATTGAATGACTTTAGTTGAATGAAATCAATAATAGCTCAATCTCTCAGTATTTTACAAATTCATTCAACTAAAGTTGGTAGAATTATATTTTCTTACAAGAATCTTATAAGCATATATAGAATGAATTCGACGTAATCTGAAGTTGAATGTTACTGTCATTTCACCACTAAACTTCAAAAAATGTTCAGTGTAATTGCATGCTCCTTCCCCCGGGAAGAAAAAAATTCCAGAAATTTGCTTAGTTGCTATGGTAACGATACAGAATACAGGCTTTTACGTCGGTAGAAAATGTTAGGTGTGAAATTTTCAAAATAATTGCAACTCGTTCCTCTTCAACTGGTAATGTGTGATATTAATTTCGTTTATGCACTTCAGGGATTTGAAGGGTACCATTATTCCCTAATTTCGGGAAAAAAGTGGTACTTCAAATCCCTACGGATTAAAAGTACCATTTATTTCCCTGACATCTGGATCACCAGTTAGTTAGTGAGGGAGTTGATATGGTAACAATCAGCCCCTTTGATAACGTTTTAGAAATAGAGTACCTACCGTACGTCACGTTTTACCTATCCTTAAGTGTATAAAATAGTGTATACACCTCAGGACTAATGTGTTTTTAAATCCCTCGACAAATTATAGTCCTCCCGTTGGTCGAACTATAAACTTTTTGTCTAGGGATTTGAAATTCCACTTTATTCCCTAGGTTTATAATAAACTATTATTCAGTTATTTTTTCATTTCCATGTTTTATATAGAATAAACTTTTTTTCAAATAGGTGCTATATAAATATTGTACATTATTGTTACTTGCCCCTCCCCCTGAGATTATTTCTGCGGACGCCCCTGGGGAAGGAGGACGTTTGAGAAATCTTTTTGTGCGAGCACTAACTCAACTACTATCTAGACATCAGACTAAATAACGATAGATAGACACCGCGATTAATTTTAAAATCATTGAAACGCGAACGCCAAACTCTGATGAATGAACGTAATTGCAAATGGTGGGGATACCTCTGCGTTACATTTAATTGAGAATGGGGAAGTTGCCTTCGAATGAATTTTCATAAAATTAGGATAATATGCTTCTGCAATCAACAGGGTGATTTATTGAGAATGGTCAATATCTTAACTACAGTCGATAAATGTCGATAAAGGGGACATTTTCATTTTGAAATTTTTTATGAACTTTGGTCGTTGAAATTGTGTCTCTGGTTGATGTTACTAGTGATTGTCCTTATTGATAACTGATTAATTACTGCCTTTTCATCAGTGTTAATTAGCAAACTTTTATTATCCAAAATAATAAAAATTGTATAAGTGAAACGCACATCTTTTCAAGAGCGAATAATGCAAAAACCGTTCAATTTGAAATAGACTAAATATTTTATGTAACATTAAACAGTCTATCATATTTATAACTTATATTATTCAATGGCCAAAGAAGATATGATGTAATTTGCTGAAGTACCAGAGTTCCACTAGCGCCCTCTATGAGCGATCACAAAATAAGTTCAAGTTTCAAATTCGTATTTCTCATGTCAGAAAACCTGAAACTACAAAATTTTATCTTCATGCTGTTTAAACTCACAAAGTTATTGAGGAGTTCTGAAATAAAATCTTCCCCTTGAACACCCTGTATCTCCAAAACTAGCAACATTTTTTTTTAAGACGCTGAATCTTAATATTTTGGTGTTTACTATCCGTAGTTCAGAGATTGCCCATTCTTAATGAGTTACCCTGTATAATTATCGAGATAATGACAATTGAAATGATTTCAATCATTGCTATTTTCGAACTAGAGCAATTAAGAAATATTTGAGGAAAACGATGACGTAAATAAATAATCTAGTGTGACATGGGTATAATAAGTATGACTGTGAGGTGCAAGCCCGAACTGAAAACGATGCTTACGAGTATTTCTTGAAAAATGAATGAATTAAAAAAGAAAGAAAATGGAATTAGAGTGTATTGCTTACCACCGGTGATATCCGAAAATATTACATTTCTGAAGAAATTTCTAGTCTATGGAGATAAAATTCAACTTGAATAATAAAAAAATAAATAAATTAAATAAAATCACAGCAACTAGATCACAATCAACAAATACCAATACAACTAAAACAGCGCATATATAATACTTGACCGTAAATTATAAGGAAAGTAATAAACCGTAAACAACAATAAACAATGGAATTATGACATCAATAAATTCGCAGTTTTCAGCATGCTTTGGTGTAAAACTGGTTTTGGGCGCGTCTAGTATAATTTACTTATTTCTTGGAAAAAATGAAAATCCACTGAGGATTCCTTCAAATTTGATTTTTTTTATTCTATTCTTTTCAAGATTCAACTTCGAGTAACGAAGGTATTCTAGATATTATTGAAATCTATTATATCTATGTTTCGTCTTGATTAGACATTTCACTCGACATTTTATCAGGCATCCATAAATAATTTGGTCGATACTTTTCGACTAATCAAGAAATCAAGATTACTAATATCATCTTATATAAAGTAGCCAATACTAAAATAATGTCTCATTGCAGTCAATACATACACATAATTTCTTAATACCCAAACAAATAAATGGACACGACAGCGTCGCAGTGGCGCTAGTAAAATCGAGTATTTTCCGTATCTTTGAATGTTTTTCTGAAGTGAATTTTCAACCAATTGAGAAAATAAAAAATATCTATGTAATAATTTTTCATAAACTTCACGGAAATATAAAAATCTCAATATAGGAAACTTCCCCATTGATATTCTTCATATATACCGGGTGTCCCAGTATACCTGTTCCAATGAATTATCTCAGCCATTACGAAAAATAAAAGTTCGAAAATTTCATGATCTCCAATTCGTTCAAGGAAGCTTCAACTGAGAAAAACAAAAATTGAAAGTCACTTCCGGTTTGACCGGAAGTGACTCCAACTTTTTTATTTCAAATGGCACCCTGTATATTTTTTGCAATTTTTGTTTTCTACTCAAAATTACCGTTTCAACGATGTATCACACTTCGTATTTTAAATTTGATTTGATGGAGAAAATGACAATTGAAATTTCAAATTGAACGAATCGCAGTAGGCTACGATATTTTTGTAATCTTGATTTTGAATTATCAGAATTGTAGTAGACCATGTAATTTTCAAATCTTCATCTTTCGAAATGCCTGAGATAATCTATTGGAACAGGTATACTGGGACACCCGGTATATTTTATATATCTAATAAATCGGGATTTATATAAATGTGTGTAAGTATTTCCATCAATGAATTAGCTCTCACGTGTTGTAAAAAAGCGAGGACAAAAAGTATGTAGATATTCATGAAAGAACAAATGATTAATATAAATTATCAAGATTGAAGAACCTACCAATTGTAAGTTTTCCTAAATAAATATGAATTATTGATTAACAAGTTGATCCACCACCACGTAAATTGTTGAAGCCAAATTTGGCAGGTTCATAGGCGGCGCTAGTGAAACTCAGGTAGATTTGTCTAGACTCTCGAAATCTCCTCGAGTCCATCTATCTGCAAGTTGCTGAACTATCTAGGAATATGCTTCTTTCAGGAGCAGGACAGTCATTAACTTCGATAATCTAATTTTTAAATCAAATCGTGAAAACCATCTGTATTTCTCAAAGTGGTCCAATTAATTTTCAGAAGAAAAGGCAATAAACGTCCCAAAGTCTGTCGACCACTAAAAAATTGTTCAATATAAGTAGTGTAACTAGTTTCAGACACAAAAATGATGTATTCGGAACTACCCAAAAGATAATTATGGACATTTTTGAGGAGTCAGAATTTCGATATACTAACCTCAGCAACACATATTAAGAGCAAAAAAATTCAATCTAAAGCCTAGGTCGAATTTCACAATATCAGTCTTGAATTTAAAATATGTTTGAATCTGGAAGAAGTCCAGTAAAACCAGATCAACATTATATCAATAAAAGGACATTGCAGGTTATGCAAAATGCAAATGGAAGCTAGGACGGAATTCGAAGAACCAGAAACATAAAAATGTTTGATAAATTGTGCTAATGTTCTTCTTTATTAATATAATGTTGAGCTGGTTTTACTGGACTTATTCCAGATTCAAACCTATTTTAAATTCAGAACTGATATTGTGAAATTCGACCTGCTTTAAATTACATTTTTTCGGTCTTAAGTAATGCTCAGGTTAAGTATATCGACATTTTGACTCTTTTTTGATTCCTTAACAATGTCTATAATTATCTTTTAGGTACTTCTGAATACATCATTTTTGTGTCTGATGATGGCCTGTGGTCGAAACTAGTTACACTACTTATATTAAACAATATGTTCATGGTCGATAGACTTTGGGACTTTTTTCTTCTTCTAATAACTTTCGAATAATAGAAAATCCGCCATGAGTCGACATTCCTTCTTGCATAAAAACAACTGAAAATGTACATCTTGTTAGTATAAATCATCAAGGCTAGAACTTATTCTTCAAATGGTTTTATGGAATCACCAACTTAATACAATCAATTCGAAATCTTCACTTCTTACTTTACTTTTCAAAATAGGAGTGAAAAGGAGTAGAAAGTTAAAAGAAATGAAGGAATGGCAATACTTGAATATCTCCAGGGAACTGGTACGGACAGTGGTAAAACCATTTTGAAACCAATATGAATTGATGTAACTTGTGTAAGTGTTTTTTGCTTTTTATAATTATTGTTGATCTATATCGCATAATCAGAAATATTTAAGACTGATGATTTGATTAAAAAATTCAACTACCAGTTCAAGCCAATGCGTATACGGAACATGCCATAAATATATCATTTTTTGTAATATATTTTTTTATGTAAGGATAAAAAAATTCTAATTGATATTTTTCATAATTCGGTCGTAAATGGATTAAAACAGTTTCCTCAATATTCCTTACATCATGATTCTGATAATATAGATATTCATTAAGATTCACTTACCATGAGTGAAATAAGCAGGCTTCGGAAATTGTTTTTTATATGTATTATTAGGTTTTGAAGATTCCGTAGCTGAAGAAGATCTGACACGCATCTCATCATGCTTGCTATTAGTTGACATCGCACTGAAACAAAACAAAAATTATTCATACACCAAGGTAGTAAAGAATATGGCATTAGATATTTTTCAAAGGTGGTTTTCAATTCTAGTCAACTTTTTCCGATAACAATTTTCGATATGGTCGAAAATGAAGGTACTTTTGGCTTGAACAAAATTAATATTTTTGACATACCTCATACACAACTGAAAAATATTCATATCTGATAATTGCATTATCGGTTTTAGACCATGCAGAACTTTTTGTGATTAACTTTTTTTCGTAAATTAAATAATAAAAAAGTTTCCCTGAATAAATGATATGCCTCATCTATTTTTTGACAAAAAAAAGACGAATTATTTTTTCCCAATGTAAATGACAGATTTATGATATTTTTAGATTTTTGGGGTGTAAAATTGATGCGACAAAATCGGGGGCCTGCATGAATTCAATCAATGATATGCCTACTGTATTTTTTGACAAAAAATCCATAGCAAGATATTATCAATGATATGCCTACTGTATTTTTTGACAAAAAATCCATAGCAAGATATTTATTCGGCAACCGTCCGGGAAGTGCTCACTTCCCGGACGTTTTTTCTTCAAGAAAGTAGCATTTTTCCGGCCTAGTCCGGGAAGTACGTACTTCCCGGACTAGGCCAGGAAGTATCACATTGTTGTTGTCACTGTAACTATGAAAATCTTGGTAGATATGGTTTTGATAAATGCAGATGATAATTACCATGCCAGACCAGGTGATGTCACTGGTCACATGGTCATTCTACAAGAAGTACAAATGGAATTTGCAACCAAACCATCGGACATAATGCCAGCCAGGCTCAGTTTCGATCATACCTTTGAAGTGGTTATAAAAGCCGCCCTAGGTACGGTACCGCTGAGCCTCAGCTGGACAGAGGGTCCCTTGTTTGGTACACCGATGGTTCGAAAATGGAAGAAAGGGTAGGCGCGGGTGTATATGGACCCGGATGTAGGCTATTTGAAGCCTAAGGTCACTCCCCCACTATCTTCCAAGCTGAAATACATGCCATCAACCTTTGCGCCCAAAGGTGCCTGAGCAAAGGTCTGAGGGGTGCCAACATATATATCTACACAGACAGCCAAGTCGCACTAAAAGCCCTAAAATCATTCGTTTTCACATCAGAGATCACATGGGACTACTTTGAAACACTCATGCAACTGGGAAAGGACAACAAAGTCACACTTATGTGGGTTCCAGGGCATGAAGGAATCAAAGAAAATGAGGCAGCTGATCGCCTTGCAAAAAAAGGTGCAGCATCTGCACTTTTTGGTCCTGAGCCTTTTTGTGGGATAAGCAAATGTCACCTAAAGGAAGAAATTGAAAAGTCCTCCTACTGGAGAGCAACTCCAGGTCAACGACAAGCGAAAAGGTTCATCAACCATTCGCAGAACCGAGCCAAAGAGCTACTCAGCACCTAGAACAGGTCTATTTCACCCCTGCTGAGGTGGAAAATTCAACCGTCAGGAAAATTTTAGGCTTCATCAGAAGTCTAGGGTTAGAGGACCAAAACTAGATAATGGTAATCACAATAGATCTTCTAGGTCGCAGTGATCGAGAGGTCTCCCAGCCTATACGACCCATCTACAATCTACCATAGAAGCGAAATATCGGCTATCGAAAGCAGCTGCGATAGTGAGTTTGAAAATGTCCATACGAAATTTCCAGTGTAACAATCAGTAGGTATAGGTATTCTGTTCAAATTTCAGTATTTGATACAAATGGGAATTAATAAAGAAGAAATTGTATTCTACAAAGAAATATAATATGGAAATGTGTCTCATTGATTTGTTATTCTACATGGTTTCCGAAGAAATAGTGTACGAAACACGTCCAAAAACAGTTTTTTTGGACTCGCAGACTTCCAGTACTCGCCTACGGCTCGGCCTAGAATTTTGTCTACTCGTAAAAAAAAAACAGTATTTTCCGGACTTGTATTACGTGAATTACTATTTTTCCAATGAATGATTTTTGGGGCGAAAATTTGGAAAATGAACAGGTGACATGATAACTCTATTTTTTGTCTATTTTATACTACTGCCATGTAGGGTTTGCAATCCCGGAGTAATAATGCAATCCCGGGATTCCGGGATCAAATTGATACGAACCCGGGATCCCGGGCTTTCGGTATCGGGATTAGAATTTGAGAAAAGTATGGGGTATACTGTAGATAAGTAATGATTACTTGAATACTCGTATATGAACTAAATCTGTAATGCATCAAAAAGTAAAGAGGAAAAAAGGCCGAACTTTTATTACCTACAGTGTTGACTGAACCAGGAGCGTACAAAAATCCACTCCTAAAGGGTATTATCTGCAAGTCGAGTGCCGATTTTTGTGCAATTGGTACCACTGCGGAAAATACTCTTCCATATTCCACACTAGTGGGTGGTATAGTTGTTGGAAGATATGCACCTTTGTTGTCACCATTTTCGAAAAGGGTAATTTCCTTCGTTGAATTTGATATCTTATTGTGTAGAGGTTGAGTCAGTGATGCCAGCGTAGCTTCGTGGTTGAAGCGTCAATGTTCTATCCACGTTGGCTTGCTGGTAGTTGGGTTCGATTCTAACCACGACCGCAGAAATTTTTCTGATGGCCTAAGAAAGTGTTTGGGACCACACGTTAAAACGTAAAAACCCCGTCATTCCTTGCTCGCACAAGTCTCTTGAAGACTTCTGAGGGTTGCTTGAAAGGGGGCAACCGAATGATGGATAAGAACAATTGTAGAACAGTGATGCACTCAGTGACGCTTGACTCGCAAAAGGAATTATTTCTTCCGCATTATCTTGTACATCAATTATTGCCTCTGAAATGTTTTATATGACTCACGAGTATCTCCATAATAACTTTTTTTCTGGATTTTCAAATAATGATAATATGATTCACTTGACCAGAGCGAAGTCTTATTTGTCAAAACTAATCCCGGAAATCCCGGGATCTAATCGGATGTGATCCCGGGGTTCTCGGTATAAAAATATCACTAGGACCCCGGGATTTCCGGTATCGGTATTTCGGGATTGCAAACCCTACTGCCATGCCACTTTATTGATGAAAACATCTGTAGCCAGACACTGTATTTTTAATATGCAAATTAATAATACACGTTCTGATTTGATGGCTCAACACCGGTGATTGTCAGTGTGTCAATTTTTCTCTGAAATGAGCAAGATGTCATTTCATTTCGTGATTCCGTTGACGTTTTCGAAGATTCGGGATAGGTTTGGTTTGATTAGATTTCCAAGTCTGCAATGTTTGCGAATGTGAACATTATATAATACCAACTTTGTTTATCTATAATAACACACTTCAAGAGGTTCACAAACAATCTAACATATACTCAGAACTCATAGTCATGTTCATGACCATGACACCAGACATTTCATTTCATATCATTTATTTATGTTAACATACAATTGTATTTACACACGTCAAGCTATAATACATAATTCAATTACTGTTACAAAGAGATAAAATATATAATAAAAGATTTCACACACTGTACTACCCCAGGGGTGAACCACTTCGGAAATACCTGTTTGTTTAGCTGAAAATACTAGAGATCAGCAGGAAATACGAGAAATATTCAGGCAATACACGCAATATTTGGAAATACAAGAAATACCTTGAAAAGACAGTCAATATGAAGGAAATATCGAAGGAAATACAGGATTCATAAAAAAATTCCTTAATGGAAAAACAGGCATTCATCAGGAAATACGAGATATATTCAGGCAATACAAGCAATATTTTGGGAATATAAGCAATATGAAGGGATTACAGACAATATAAAAGAAATACAGACAATTTTTAGGAAATACCAGCAATACAAGCAATATTTTGGAAATACAGGCATAAAGAAGGAAATACAGGCAATATGAAGGGAATACAGAAAATGTTTAGGAAATATCAGCAATACATAGGCAATACATGTGAATATTTCTCTATTTTGTTTAGCTTTATTGTGTTCATTACCATTCTAAAACAAGTTGTTAGTGCATATGAGTCTAATACAGTGAACCATCGAGTGGACCCTCATCATTATCATTAAGGGCAAGTGAAAAAGTACATTTTCCCCAAAGAATCCTCTGTATATTATTGCATATTCCAATAATTCTGTTTTTGTGATATCAAATATGCATGACTTCTATATATTTTTACTACTACTACTATTGGATTACAACATTTACAATACATGGCCTCATAATAGAATTAAAAATCTCTGTTTCATCAAATTTAGGAATAAAATAAAGCAATAAATATCATGAAGCATTGAGTATTAATATGGATGAATTCACTATCAATATTTACCTGTATTTTATTTTTCTGTTTGTTCTGTATTTTTAATCTGTATCAATATCTTTATATTGTTTGTCTTTTAACTTAAAGTTCTATTTATAGTTACCTCTTTGACCTGCTACAAATGTACAGTATACGTAATGTGGTTAAATAAAGTATTCTAAGCTTCTATTCTATTCACCAATATCTTTATCCCACGATGGGCACAAGATGACAAGCTATGTGTCTCCCCAACTGTGCAATGTTTGAATTACTGGTGGAATTGAATATTTTTTGCATTTGCCTCATCATCCGATAATGATGAAATTGAATCTGTAGTACTATCATTGCTACTAGATTGAAGTAACTTATTGAGGCTTATTTCATAAACAAGGAGAGTCAAACCTCGATTCAAATGAACTATTCATCTGAAAATTTAAACCACACAAGCACCAAAACAAATAACCATAAATGTGCATAGAACCACAGTGATATAACCGAGGATAGAACTCAAGACAGTTTCAACCTCAAATCAGTAAATCACGATTGAAATATTGATCCACATATTCACCAAGTTCGAATGGCGGTGATTTGGTGGCTCATCAGATTGTTCACCAGATGAATTAAGCAACTCAACAAATTCTCCTCATCACATTTATATTCGGCGAATTTAGCAACAACAAATTTCACACCAGTGGTGTTAGTAAGTAAGTAA